TTCCTCAGAAACCACCTGTTTTCTTGCAAACATTTACTAATATTTTAGTTTCCATCATTGCGTTATAAAATTTGCGTTTAGCACCCCTACTTTAGATGGACTTGCTCCCTTCCCTTAGTTAAAGGTATATATTATATATCAAGAACTCTCTTGGAGATTTATAGGAAACCCTGGTAGTACGTAGATCGTTGGGCGTTGAACAGTATTGTACCAAGGCCTTGGTTCAATCTTTTGGATGGAAATCTATATAAAACAACACTCTTTGACATCTCATGGAGGTTGCATTGGAGATGATACAACTTCCCATGAATCATACCCCCTAATATCATGGATAATTAAAATTGTGTTAGCCATATGTTTATGATAACTTGAGCTTTCCCAACTTTACTCGCCCTGGTCGTAATTCTTTTAAATACTGTTCAAAACGCAGTTTATTGTTTTCATGCAAGCCAGAGTTTAGGAATCAACCATACGTGTTGGTGGAATATATTTAAAACATTACATCCAAGACATTAGACAGTTTAGTGATGTTTTTTATTTTATTTTTTATTGTTATAATATTTTTCTTTGCTCAGGTTTAGCACCGACTTTGGAAAGAACGAGCAAGAAGTCATGAAGCATGTAGCAAACTACTTGAAACCAGATGATTCACAAGCGCTGCTTGAATTGCTTGACAGTTCTCAGTTGAAGGTATTTTATCAAGCATACGATTGGGGTTTGAACTTTTAACACTGCTTTAGCATATCACACAGTGCTGTCTCCAAATAAACGTAAACGAGCAAACCTAAAGGTGTGATATTGAGAAGAAAGTACTGTCTTTGGTGCTTTTGCATACAGCTCAGATACATCATGGCCAAGCAGAAGGCATGAGACGTGCAGGTGAGGCAATAAACTGTTTTGTCTACAAGGTAAAACCAACATTCTACACTTTACTTCATTCGGAACTCCTTGAAAGCATCTGTTGGTGTTTTCCTTAGTACCATGTAATTGTGCATCCAATTGTAATGTGCATTTCTTTTTAGTTCAATACCATTTGGGAATAGAGAGACATTTGTACCTTTGACCTATTGGCCAAAAATGCATGTGGATTACTGCTATATTGTGCAAATTGTACTTGATTATAGATCTCTTTCAGTTGGTTCAACACATATTTTCTAACTATAAGAATCTCATGATAATTAGTCGAGTTGGTTAGAGTAAATTGGGCACATTACCATTCAATTTTCTAAATATAAGATCTCATGATAATTAGTCAAGTTCGTCAGAGTAGATTTTGTTCATTTCATTATTTGGATTTGATATCTTCTGTCAGTTTGATTGGATTTAGTTTTTCTTTTTAAATTATATATATATATATATATATATATACACACACACACATATATATAAAATTAAACCACAATTGGAATTAAGGACAATGATTATAAAAATGCTTCAAATGTAAATCCGGTGGTATTATTAGAGGCATGTAAATTTGTTAGTCCATCTACATTTATTGTGATGGTCACAATCTACTAAAAACCAGGAAATTGGCGGAGCCATTTCCAAATACAGTCGGTGAGTTTTTCGAGGCTTTCAAACTCGGCTGCCCAACCTCATTTAACAAATTACAGCCGGCAAGTTTTCTAAATCAAGAAATGATTGATCGAGAACCTGAGCCTATAACCGTATAATGTCAATGATTTATTCAAGGGATAGCAGAAACAAAAGTTTATTATATAGAAGCCCAACCTTTTCAACACAAACAATTTAGAACTGAATCAAAGGGCAATCCACCGCCTTATTAATCATAATACACAATCGTAAATCCTTAACAGTGACAGCATTTTTTGGCTAAAGAGCCTGCAGAGATTGCTACCCCCAAACTATGACTGGACGACCAAAACAAAGCCGAGATAGCAACAGTGATACAACTCCATAGACCACCTTCAGCACGGTTTGAGTTGGCACAACAAGCAGGCAAGATTGAATCATCTTCATAATACCTCATTTCATTGCTCACACTGTTTTCTCAAGAACTACACACCAGTTTGATTTGTCATAAAATCGATCGACCACTACGGCGTCGTCCATACCAGACACCAACCTACAAATGCACCCAAGATGATCAAGCAGTAAAAGAACAAATTATTATGTAGAAATGTATCTCTTAATCTTAGCCAAAAGGCCAAGAAAGATGTATGTAGAAATGTTGTCGTGAAGTACATGATATATACCGTGTTCCCTATTTCTACTTAGTCATGGTATCTCGAGTCAAAAGATGAAATGTTGCAAGCTCGGGAACGACCATGGTCATCACTTTTCACATTATCACACATTAATGGAACTAGAAGTAGTTGAAAGGTTACTGCTAATAGAGACACACTTCACAACACATATAGATCTAGAACAGCCTAGTTCAAGTGACTCCCCCCCACCCCCCATGAAACCATAGAAGAGAGAGGAATACCTTTCAAGCTCGCCTTCACTGAAAACATGATAGTATCTGTTATACACAACAGCAGATTTCTTATCATCCTTCTTTGCCAAACCACTAGCAAGGGCACTGGCAGACGACCCACTGACTTCTGCACGATGATAAGGTAAGTGCCATGGGACAAAATATTCTTGCTGGATCTTCAATAAGTTTTCATCATTACAATTCATAAAATCATTTCCACTCCGAGAGGGTAGAGGTTTATTTTCTGGCTTGCTTCCAGTGAAGTTTTCCTTGGAATCCTTTAGGGAAACACCTGAATGATTCTCATTCATTTCAGGAATGCTTTCAAGTGCCAACGACGATGGACTACGAACACGCGGACTACCTGGTCCAACCCACTCATCAACATACTTCTCTGAAAGTGGCATCCATTTCGTCAATAAAGATTTATCCTCTTGTTCAACAGCCCAGACTGTTATTAAAACTAGGCCACCTTTTTTGACAACACGTATTAATTCTTCGATTGCTTTCCTCCTCCTGTTTTCAGTACTTAGATGATGTAATACCGCTATAGAAATCGCTGCATCGCCAAAACCAGTTCTGTAAGGAAGATTTACTGCATCAGCCACCAAAACTTCATGCCCCCTCTCATCACAAATTTTGATAAGTTGGGCACTAATATCACATCCAATGAAAAAGCAATTGGGATTAAAACCCAAGTACTTTCCATTACCACAGCCAGCATCCAGGACGAGGGACCCTAGAGGTAACGATGATAAAAAGGATGCAACTTTTGGCCACTTTGCAAATCGAGTTGAACTAAAATGGGGAGCAATGGCATCATAAACCCGATGCACATATTTCTTTTCAATTTCAGGGGTGCACTGCACATTTGATGATGAACAGCTCTGATTTGAAGAAGTCAATTGCTGTGCATGTGTTTCATCATTCAACAGATCAGGATCTGCATTAGAACCACTTCTGACTTTAATCTCTTTCATAGCACTGGAAAGTCTAGAATGATGCCCACTACCACTTACAACAGAGGATAAACCAAAGATTTTACTATTGTGACAGAAACGTTTGCTCACTCCTGTAGCACAGCCAAAAGCTCGAGCCAAGAAAATCAATTAGGCATACCCTGCAAGAAACCATGGCTCTCTAAGGACTAAATTTCTTGCAGTTCTTTCACAGTACAGAAGTCTATTATACAAAAACATGTACACAAAGACATAAGAAACATGTACAAAGTGATATGCAGTTTGCAGGGCTGATAACAGGAGGATAGACTTTTCATTCATTCATTCATTCATTCACTGCTAGAACACAGCAAAGATTCGAGCTCTTCTCAGTTCCTTAACAATTTCCCCAAACAGTTCCCTCTAAAATCAAAGATCTAATTCTTCTTGCTTCATAGTTTAGCCTTGTCCAGAAGGAAAGCCAATCTCATTTAGACAGGACTAGTCAACTACTACTTGTGGAAAATACTCACAAAGACAAATAGAAAACATCGGAGGATTGGGAAAAGGACAGCGCAATAATGGAGAGAGTTAACATTAATGTCGCTACTTGGGCGTATTATCATAGCAAATATCATCGTATTCATAATTGAATCTCCACAGATTTCCACGGGAACGAAAAAATGAGAAACAAATCCATTATCCAAGAACAAAGTAACAACCAAACACATCCAAGCGATTGAAATGCAAGAAACTAACACAGAAGCAACAGCAACAACTAGAGAAAACATCGTGCAAAAAACAAAATAGAAATCTTGATTTAAATAGATCCAGGAAAAGATGGAGAAACTCACGAAACTCATGTACGGCGTGTGTGCATGATTGTGGCGAAAGATTGGAGAAAAAACAGTGGAATCTAGTTCATGATTGGAAGAAAGAAAGAAAAAGAGAGGAAAGAAGAAGAGAAAATGAAGGCACCAATCTCGCAATGGCAGCTTCAAGTAGGCTGGTCGTCTTCGTCGTGGAGTGAAGGGGAAGAGTGCCCTAGCACACTGTACATTGATTTGCAGAGTTGTCAGAATCAAAAACCACTAAATTATTTGATTAAAACAAAACAGTAAATAGTAATAATAACATAATTAATAAAAACCTCTTTATTAAATCCTGTAATTATATTTCAGTTTAAGCCTCGATTTAATTTCTTAAATACGAAAATTAGTTGAATTAACAAAGTTAAACATATACTCATAGCTTTGTTTTGGCAGTGTCTTTTAAACATATTAAATCAAATAAAAAAAAATAAATTAAAATTGGGTGGGGGTGGAAGGTAGTTTGATTAAGTTGTCGGTCGGTAATAAATTTAAAAAATAAATTAATTTCATAAAGGAATGGACCAAAATGAAACATGTCAACCTTTGTAGACTAGTAAGTAGCAACTAACTATATACTATAATCCAATTTTATTATATCAATGTTTCTTGAATTGATTTATCATATGATCTGAGCTTCCCTTTTTATTTTTATTTCTTTTAATTTTCACATATATATATATATATATATAGTAAAACTAATGAAAAAAAGAAAACGAGAAAAAAAAATGTGAAATTTAAAAGGAGAAAAGTGTGAAATGTAAGAGGGGAATAAAGTAGTCGCGGGAAGAAGAGGTGGCGCGCCCAAGTAGCGGCGCCAAATCCAGACCTCATTCATAATCGCAACGCAAAGCCCAAACAAATCAGTTCACACTGCCACTTCCACTTCCACTTCCACTTCCTTCCCACACCCGTGTGCGCACCAAACTCTAGCGGCGATCTTATCCGGTGAGCCACACCCGCTGATACCAAATTCCCCGCTTCCCCTTCCTGCCTCTTTGCTCACTATTTTCACAAACCCTTCTGTAATTCCCCTCCTCTCTTCCATGGAGGAAGGCCTCCAACGCCCCAATTTCGCCCCCTTTTAGTCGCCTTCTCGTTTACTCACATTCCTTTTTTCAGGTATATTTCGTTTCTTCTTCTACCTTGTCTGTGCTGTTGAGCTCTGGAATTGTAGTTTTATGGGGGACATAATTTGCCTGTGATTCTTCTTACATTTTTCTTCTTGCTTTTAATCATATCTTTTCTCGTACTTTGTTTTGTTCCCTATTCTTTAATCATTAGCTCATTACACAGATTAGGCTGCATTTTTCTACGTCGTTTCTGCAAAAAAAAAAAACCCAAATCAATGGCTGGTACGTTCAATCCACATATTTTGGTGGACAAGCTAGCCAGGCTCAACAACTCACAGGCGAGCATCGAGAGTATCCTCTTTGAAATTTTTACTCTGTTTTGTCCACGTTATGTTATATGATTACTCTTCTTTTGGCTAAATTACTTTTCTTTTTCCTTATATCATGAATGTTGATAGGTTTAATACCCTTGTTTTATTGATCAAAATTGGTTCCATCCTTAATGTGATTAAGCTTTGTCCCATTGGTGTATATTTCACATGAACAAAGCTAAGCAAGTTGTAGAAACATGGGATAAACAGTTTCATTGTTCTCCACGCGACCAGAGATTGGCCTATCTGTATCTTGCAAATGACATTCTGCAGAACAGTAGGCGAAAGGGCTCGGAGTTTGTTGGTGAATTTTGGAAAGTCCTTCCTGATGCACTTCGTGATGTAATTGAGAATGGGGATGATTTTGGAAGAAACGCTGCCCTACGACTGGTACATCAATGCTTACTATGCATCCTTATCCTTTGTCAAAATTTCTTACTCATGCTTAAATTTTATCTTGTATATTACTGTCCCTAAGAAAATATTTAATTAGATACTTGGCATTCGAGATTTTTGAGCTATATGGGATCCCTACATGTATTACAAATGGCATGCGCTGTTTCTTAGATGTTTAAATTAATTTCCATATTTTATTTTCTACCCCTACTCAAAGCCCCGATAAGCGCTTGTGGTGCAAAAATCTTTTGCGAGTTTTTTCGACATGGATTATGTTTTAGGGTGAAGATTGGTTGCATATGTGGTGAAAGAAGTCAAAAGTTATTAATTGTTATGAACCAAATTTCCTATTCATGGAAGTACGTCGTATAGCTCAAGAACGAGAAAATATTATATAAATGTTAAATTTAGTATTCTAGGAAATTTGGGAACCTAGAATTCTATCCTTGAGCTGAGCCAAACTGGAATACAAAATCCTCAGAGTAGAATGCCTTCATCCCTTATTATGATTGTCGGTCGTTAAAAATTCTTCGGGCCTATTTGATCGAGCTTCCTTTTGACCCTCCTTTGTTTTTTATTATCAACAATTGTAATGTCTTCTTGTAGTTTTTCTTGCAGCCTCAAACTTTTTTAATTGTCATTCCTCTTAAACTTCTGTATTTAACGCTGACTCCTTTGTTTTTTTCTAGACTCTGCTAGCATATGTATGTGTTTTATTTAGACCCATTTTAATATTACTCATAGATTGGCATTTGGGAGGAGAGAAAAGTTTTTGGATCTCGAGGGCAGAGTCTTAAGGAAGAGATAATGGGAAAGCATACGGAAACTGGTAACCGAAATGGGAAGCAAGTTAGCGCTAAACTGGTAAAATATTGCTCTTCCATCATGAATACCGAGTTATGTTCATAAATAGTCGGGCCAAGTGGTCTTTCAGTCACCTATTTCATTATTCTTTTCAACAGAAACAATCAGGCAGCATATCATTGGATAAAATAGTTTCTGGTTACCAAGTTGTTTTTGGAAGTGAGGTAGATGAAGATGTAGTACTAAGCAGATGCAGCAATACTATTAGTTATCTTGAGAAACTGGACAAAGAAATTGGCGCTGATGTCAATTCAGGTACTTTAGCTTGTACATTGTCGATTATTTTAGCTAGACGTTTTCGGAGGAGCTTTATAGTTTTTTAACTACACAGGGCAATACCATGGAACTTCAATTGCAGAGGATCTGCGGGGACATCATACCATTTTGAGGGACTGCATTGAACAACTAAGAGCAATTGAAACATCAAGGGCGAGTCTCGTGTCTCATCTGAGAGAGGCTCTTCAAGAACAGGTATTTTGACATCTTGTTGGAGAAAAATTAAGGTCACAATTGTTCGAAGTAAACCTTAAAACTGTATCTTTAAATATAAATTTCTTATGTTCAGGAATTCAAATTGGAGCGAGTCAGAAATCAACTTCAGGTTTGCATTTCTGTTTCACAACTCCTTGGAGTATGGACTCGCTGATTCTTTTTTGTTTTTCTGATTAATTGATTTAGATTAACCCTATACGAAAACTCCGTTGTTTTGTGGGGTTGGTTCAATTTTTACGTGAAACTAACTGTTCTTGTCGCCAGTTGAAACTCATCCCCAGTCATTCGTTTCCGTTTTAAAATTCATAAACCAAACCTTGATAATGCTAGGGAATGTGATCCCCTGGCATGGGCTTTTCATATTTGTGTCGGATGAACCATATTCAATATGAGGGAGTTGATATAAATTATGTGGGGATTGCATGAATTTATTTATGAAGCCTCTATTTTACTGCATTAGAGTGGATGAAGATCATGCTAATTAATTCATTCCCTGTGTTAATGGATTGGAGAGCAACTGTATAAGTGTTACAAAGAGCCTTATGCTTAGCTTAAAGAAGAAGAAAAATAAAAAGAAGTTAGTTTCTCATAGGATGATAATGAGTCAAGAAATCTGTTAATATCTTTATTTAAAAAAGAATTGAATTAGTGACCAAACAACTCTGTTTTTCAAAAACTAAGAAACCAAAGCTGAACGATTTATAATTCTAGTTTTTTGTTTTTAGCTGAAATAGTCAGGCTAACCCATGATGTGTCATTGGCTTAATGTATATTAATTGTTGGAAAATTAATATACATTAAGCCAATGAGAGCAACTTTCAGAAGTATTCGGACAACACAATTATTTTTTGCGTTAATCAGAACAAAATGTTGGGAAAGCTTTCTTGATCTTTCTTTAAAACCCTTTGGACTCGCTGTATGTCTGTCTAAATTAGCTCTCGTTGTCGTAAACATGGACCAAGAGGATGTCTCGGCCGAGGCATACTCCTTGAGATGAAAGGGTGAGGTTGCAACAAATTAGAATATTGCAAAGTTGAACCATATTCCTTCCCTCCAAATCAACTTTCTTCATTAGTTTCTCAGTTTGTCCAAAGCTATGTTGGTGCCTTTAGTTGAACATATCTGGGAAGGAAAATTGGAAAGAAGCCCTGACATTCATTGAAAATCTCAAAAGTTCGAAATGCTTACTGTATGTGGCGTAAAAAAGAGAAAAGTGTTCGACCTTTGGTTCGTGCATTGTAATTTTTCTGTTAGAGTTTGGTCCTTTCTGCTGGAAACTTTTAATATTGGATGGAAAGAAATCATGGGTTTTCCAAGATAAAGTTAAACCCATTGAATCCTTTTGTGAATTAGCACTGTATAGTGCCTTCACTTAGGGTGCGCTCCACAGCACGTGTTTTGTAATCACGATTTCCTTTTTTGAAAAAATGGATTGGAGTTCCTTTTTTAATAGTCTTTTCCCAGCAACTGGATCTTGTGATATTTGTGTTTCTGAGGAGGAAAATTCATTGACATATTGGTCTAGATGGAATAGTTGGATTTCTATGGATTGAACCAGTTTGCAGCTCTCGTGAGTTTGAGGAATATAATGAAGATGTACCCTAAAAAGCCTCTGAGTTTCGTTTCTGAACATGTTAGTTGAGTAGTTAAGAAATCTGGGTTTTAAAACCCCAATACTCATGAAACTGTCGGGCAAGCATGGGTTGGTTTCGGGTACCATAGCCCAAATACCCTTGGTAACCGCCATAGCCTACCGCTAGCCGATATTGTCTTCTTTGGGCTTTCCCTTTCAGACTTCTCCTTAAGGTTTTTAAAACGTGTTTGCTAGGGAGAGGTTTCTACACTCTTATAAAGAATGTTTCGTTCTCTCCTTCAATCTCTCCTTCAACCAATCAATGTGAGATCTCATAAAAACTATGAAAATAGTCTAGTAAACAATTTCTTCCGTAGATGCCAACGTTCTTGATGACTTACCCTTTCCCCCCTCCGATCATCCTACAGTACAGCTGCCAAATTGATGGAGTTGGATACATTAGAGAAATAGGAAGAGAAAACAGAACAGGGACAGGAGAAATTCAGAGTTTTCGAACCGAAATAAAACATCCCATGCATCAAGGTTCAAAGTAGTTATTGTTATTATTTTTGGGTGGGGGGAGAAAAACTGAGTTTAAGTGAAGTTATGAAATGTACTCAAAAGGGAGAGGAAGCCTTCCAAATGCCATGGGAATTAGACAAAGCTCCACTGAATATCCTTTTTAGCTCGACTTTCCACTTTTCTTATGTATTTGGTAGGTCAACATCTCTGTTGGCAGCTGAAACCTAAGAAGAATTAGTAGCATTGCCAGACATGTTTGAAGTGATCTCTTCTTACTTGTATGTATTTTGACAGGCTTCCCAGTCCCGGTCGGAACAAACTCAGAATCTCTGCCCTCAATTTCTAAACGGTGAAAATGTGCAACCTGTGACTGAGGGGGCCTCCAAAGATGCTCAGTCCTCAATAGCACCACACGGCCTTGTACCGAGGGAGATAGAACAATCAACGCCAGTAATGTATGCAGCCTCATTACCTTTTCCTGCAAAACCTGCACCTATTGAGGAAGATCCCCGCAAGTCTGCTGCTGCTGCAGTGGCAGCAAAGCTAACTGCATCGACATCCTCGGTTCAGATGCTCTCTTACGTCCTATCTTCCCTGGCATCGGAGGGCGTAATTGGAAATCCAAATAAAGAGTTATCTTGTGATTATCCATCTGAGAAGAGGACCAAACTTGAAAATGACCAGTCACCCTACGTATTGCCTCCGAATCCACAGCAGCCACCCGTCTCTTCCTTCCCACACCCGGAGTCTCTCCAACGTAATGCCTCATCGACCAGTCAACCATACACTCCTCCTCCCCCATCATCATCTCCCCCGCCGATCCCTCCGTTACCTCCTGTAGTGCAGTTCACACAGAATGTTGGGTCAGTAAGTAGCATGCCTTTCAGTTACACTATGACACAATCATTGCCACCATTAGCGAAACCGGGCTATCCGAATGTAGGTGCCCCAGTGGCTGGGATGTCTCCTTTTACAATACCAACAAATTCTTACCAGAGTTTTCAGGGTTCAGATGCCAATTTCTATAATCAGACTTCATCAATGCCGATGGCACCAGTTTCTAGGCCATAGAGCTGTGTAATACTAGTCTTACTTCACCTATTTGTGCTAACAAATCTTTAAGGAAGTGATGCTTCCCATTAAGGCCTATGAGGAAATCTTGCGTCCTCGTGTGCTCCTTAAGTTCTGACCACATAACTAAATGGATTTTGCACATAGTAATAGTTTGTAATTTAACTTCATTTAATAATGTAATGCTTAGAGTCTGGAAAAGTAAGTCATCTGGTTGAATCAAGTCTGATTGTTTATATTGTTATTGGTTGGATTTGTTCTGTATTAGACTGACCAAATGTGCTGGTGGATGAGGGACTTGATTGGTCAACAGGTATCTTGTTATAATAGGGTGCTCAGCTCTGACTTGTTATGAACAGGTTAGCCCTGTGGTAGAAGATGGCGAGTGGCACACTGTTGCTGCTATAGTTTTATATGATTATAGGGTTTTGACATGACATAATAGGCTACCACCCACTTGGGTTGAGTGACTTTAGTTTTAGTTTCATTGGGTTGAGCTACGAGCTAGCTGGGTGTCAACTGGCTTTGGTCACATAGCCATACAACTCACTTAGGTGGACTTGTTTGGGCTAAACCCACCTAGGCTGGCTCACTTTTTGGTCTCACTTGATTAGGGTGAAGGAGGTTTAATGATGTAATAGGGGTAAGTTTGGTCACATAGCCATACAACTCACTTAGGTGGACTTGTTTGGGCTAAACCCACCTAGGCTGGTTCACTTTTTGGTCTCACTTGATTAGGGTGAAGGAGGTTTAATGATGTAATAGGGGTAAGTTTGGTCACATAGCCATACAACTCACTTAGGTGGACTTGTTTGGGCTAAACCCACCTAGGCTGGTTCACTTTTTGGTCTCACTTGATTAGGGCGAAGGAGGTTTAATGATGTAATAGGGGTAAGTTTGGTCACATAGCCATACAACTCACTTAGGTGGACTTGTTTGGGCTAAACCCACCTAGGCTGGTTCACTTTTTGGTCTCACTTGATTAGGGTGAAGGAGGTTTAATGATGTAATAGGGGTAAGTTTGGTCACATAGCCATACAACTCACTTAGGTGGACTTGTTTGGGCTAAACCCACCTAGGCTGGTTCACTTTTTGGTCTCACTTGATTAGGGTGAAGGAGGTTTAATGATGTAATAGGGGTAAGTTTGGTCACATAGCCATACAACTCACTTAGGTGGACTTGTTTGGGCTAAACCCACCTAGGCTGGTTCACTTTTTGGTCTCACTTGATTAGGGTGAAGGAGGTTTAATGATGTAATAGGGGTAAGTTTGGTCACATAGCCATACAACTCACTTAGGTGGACTTGTTTGGGCTAAACCCACCTAGGCTGGTTCACTTTTTGGTCTCACTTGATTAGGGTGAAGGAGGTTTAATGATGTAATAGGGGTAAGTTTGGTCACATAGCCATACAACTCACTTAGGTGGACTTGTTTGGGCTAAACCCACCTAGGCTGGCTCACTTTTTGGTCTCACTTGATTAGGGTGAAGGAGGTTTAATGATGTAATAGGGGTAAGTTTGGTCACATAGCCATACAACTCACTTAGGTGGACTTGTTTGGGCTAAACCCACCTAGGCTGGTTCACTTTTTGGTCTCACTTGATTAGGGTGAAGGAGGTTTAATGATGTAATAGGGGTAAGTTTGGTCATCACTTTTTGGTCTCACTTGATTAGGGTGAAGGAGGTTTAATGATGTAATAGGGGTAAGTTTGGTCACATAGCCATACAACTCACTTAGGTGGGTGAAGGAGGTTTAATGATGTAATAGGGGTAAGTTTGGTCACATAGCCATACAACTCACTTAGGTGGACTTGTTTGGGCTAAACCCACCTAGGCTGGTTCACTTTTTGGTCTCACTTGATTAGGGCGAAGGAGGTTTAATGATGTAATAGGGGTAAGTTAGGTAAGTTGATAGTAAAAAGTATATTTGATAAATAGATGATTATATATATAGGAAATGGTTATACTCTTCAAACTAGTAAGCTAATCAGAGCTTTTAAAATGTACTTTTTTATATTCTGTATTCTCTCGTACATATGTGAAGTCATCTATATAAATTCTTCAACCAATATTCTCTTCTTTTCTATATTCTGTATTCTCTCGTACATCCAATATTCTCCTTGCATTTTCTGTATTCTCTCGTACATACAGCCAATATTCTCCTTGCATTTTCTCTATCATGTTTTTTGTGTTCTTTAGCCAATATTCTCCTTGCATTTTCTCTATACTGTTCGTGTTCTTTAGCTAACATTCTCCTTGCATTTTCTCTATCTTGTTCTTTGTGTTTATCCTTGCATTTTCTTTATCCTGTTCTTTGTGTTTATCTAGATCGAGTGTGTGCGTTGTTGTGTGATCCTAACATTCTTCTAAAGAGATTTGCTCGTATTTTATGAGCATATCTTTCTTATTTAATCTAGTTTTCATCCGAGATGAATCATTTTTTCGACTAAGTTATGTCGAGTATTTTAAGAGTCCATGATTGTAAACCTTATATTCATCTTATTGTGCAATCTTGAATCTCTCTAGGAAAACATCTAGAGCGGTTTGACCTCTTCTTTATCTATTAGATTTAAGTAGCATGGTCTTGTGTAACACGCTTATCTCTTAGGACATTATTTATCATATACTTCATTTTCTCCATTTGGTGGTCCATTTTTTCCAATGAGGATGTCTATCTCATTTTGAACCTCAATTCCATCGCCTAAGGTAGCAGCCAAATTTGAAAACTGGGGGCATGACGCATGAGATGGAGACCCATCAAATTTAGTCGATCATTTCCTATATCAACCAATTTTTTTTATAGCTACTTGCTTTCCTACTTGTTCTAATTTTGTTGAATGCATCAAACAAAGATTTATTTTAAGAATTTGTATTGCAAAATGATCATATAAATTATATATTTGATTTACATGATCCGTAAATAATCAGAAAATGATAGCCTTTCCATCTCTGTGGCACACTTCTTTTTGTTCCCACTTCCGCAAAATGCCAAAACCAATTCATATGTTTCCGCAAAATACCAAATTTATCCCTTCTCTTGCTTTCTTTCTCTTTCTTTTTTAAGAAAATTGGAAATTTATATATATTCTTCGTTTTAGTTTGTTTCCTTTCAATTATTCTATTTTACTCTAAAATTAGTAATGTATTAAAAGCTTGCCTCTACAAAATATGTTCCCGTTGTATTTTTGTCATCAAAGCTATCCTTACCTCACTAACTTCCATAAAAATTAATTAAAAAGCAACAGAAGGGATAAATTTTAATTTTATTAAAATATTATAACTAAATTTGGTAAAAAACTAATTACTTTTAATTTTTAAATTCTCTGGACCATCAGAACTATTTTGTCATTTAAATTTAAAAAATAAATAAATAAATTATGAGAATGTTTTTATTTTAATGAAATTGGCATCCCAAAGTTCCTTTTCCTTGAACAGAGATTAATAATATAGTGTTAATCCATAAGTGTGCAAAATGAAAAAAGAATTAGAATTTTTTTTTAAAAAGAAAAAAAGAAAAAAAGAAAAAGAATATATATATATATATTTTAAAAAGGTGGAAATAGTCAAAGATTTGGAGTGTAAAAATAAAAGTGAAAGTGATTCCAATAAATAAATAAATAAATAAATAAATAAAATTCTTTCCCACCTCATCTGTTGAACCCAATTTTTAATTGTCCAAAATTCCAAATCAATCTTCAAATCATCGCTGGTTTGGCGTCTGTTTCATATTCCATTTCCAAGTCAACGCTTTTCTGTATCATCATCACCATTTTCCTCGCTCTCTCTTCCCTTCCCACCATCCTCATTTCCATTACACTCTTCCCGTTTCCACTACCTTGGCCCCACATCTAACAGCCTGTCTAATGCCCTAATTTAAGGAATTGGCGGTACAATCTTCATAAATATCCGAACCAATTGCCAGATCCACTATCTTCACGATCATCTCTTTCACTCTCAGATGGATCGGAACGGGAGAGAGAGAGGTTTCGAGGAGGAGGAGGCGGAGGAGAAGTACGGCGAGTTGGATCCGAACCAGAAGGCCAAGAGAGAGAGAGGTGATGAAGGATTAATGGCGGAGGAATTGATGTCGGTGGAGAAGATTTTCGAAGCGCAAGAAGTTCCGTCGTGGCGCAAACAGCTGACGGTGAGAGCGTTCGTTGTGAGCTTCGTACTGAGCGTCTTGTTCACTTTCATCGTCATGAAGCTTAACTTGACCACCGGTATTATTCCTTCGCTCAATGTCTCCGCCGGACTTCTCGGCTTCTTCTTCGTGAAGACATGGACCAAATTTCTGGAGAAATCCGGTTTCCTGAAGCAGCCTTTCACTCGCCAGGAGAACACCGTGATTCAGACTTGTGTTGTCGCTTCCTCCGGCATCGCCTTCAGCGGTATGTACCTTCGATCTTACCTCCACTTTTCTTTTTCCTACTCCTTAGGGTTTCGATTTGATCAACTTCCTGAACACGAATTGCGCGGCGGCTATGATTTTTTTTTTTTTTTTTCCAGAAAAAAACTCATAGTTATCTATCTTAATTTTTTGCTTTGATGGAAATATTATTTAATATAACTTCCTGTTTAATTAATTTTTAAAAAATTATTCTAAGTGCTTAAACAGCCACTTGACTTTGACGATACAAATACAATTTTTTAAATAATAGTATTAAAAAAATATCAAATAAATTATTTTTTTAATGGCTAATGGAATTCATATTGAAATATTTATACGATATTGACCTCCATTATAATAATACCCCTCCGGTAACTATAAAAAAGCTAAAAAATATTAGCTTTAAAATTTAAATATTAAACCAAAAGAAAGTGACACGATCTGATGTTAAAAGAGGTCTTGAAATAAAAAAATTGTTTCCTTAATGTTTTGAATATGTTCTTTTGTTAGAAAAATGCAAATTACCATTATTTATATTATCTATTTTTAGTACATATATATAATATCTTTTATCAATTAATTTTGAAAAAATAGAAATTTTAAAATTAAAAATAAAAGAAAATCACGCTAGAAAACAATTTTTACCACCTATATCTATGGTTTCAGACTCTGAAGTTAAAGTGTAATTGAAGTTAGGCTTAAGATATTATCAGCTTTAATCTATTACCAGCTTTAATCTATTACTCGTAAGATCTCACAATTTACCCCACCAGCTGATGTTCGATTTTGATTCAATTTGTAATAGCCTAAGTTTAGGCTAAGCAAATATTATCCTAGCTTCAACATATGTGAGATCTGGTGTGAAAAATGAATTTAAAGTTTTATTATTTATTTACGGAACCATAAGGACGTAACTGAAAAAAAAAAATCCATGAAATATTTTTGGGAAAGCTGCCTACCTCTATTTGCGGGAACTCTGCAAGTATTGCACGGTGTTCTTTATTTTTCTTTTTCTCTTGATATCTCGGGATTAGCTGAATACTTTTAACAGATAAAGTTGAAACCAGATAGATCAATGAACAGTTGGCTTGCTTTATATAAAATATTCTCTTTATAAAAGTTTTTTTTTTCCTGGAGGAATCTTCTAGTCATGGTGAGTAAGATATTGAAGAACCAGCCGCGAAAAAAGACTTCTAGAAAAAAATAAGTTTTTTTAGTGCATTATTAAGCATTTGATATGAATGAATATTTCAAGAAGAATAGTGGAAACTATGAACCTATTTGAATAGAGAATCTTAACATTATCAAGCATTTGATGCGAGTGTTGATATGTATTTGATGTCGTTGGAAATTGAACAGGAGGCTTTGGGAGCTATCTATTTGGACTGAGTCAGCGCATCAGCAAACTAGCATCGGCGGATGTGAATGACTTCAAGAACCCTTCATTAGGATGGATTATTGGTTTCCTTTTCATCGTCAGCTTCATCGGCCTCTTCTCGGTGGTGCCTCTAAGAAAGGTATATTCAAATTTAAAACAGAAGTTTTAGCATTCAGGGAGGACCCACATGGCTTGCTTTCATTTTTTGAATGTTTCAGATAATGATCATAGATTTCAAGTTGACCTATCCAAGTGGTACAGCCACATCACATCTCATCAACAGTTTCCACACTCCTCGAGGAGCAAAGTTGGCCAAGTGAGACTCTTTACACTACTTTTGTATACCCAAGTGACACTCTTTTTGAACCAATCTTTTGTATGGTTTATAGCTTTTGGTGCATTCTGTGCGTTGCAGGAAGCAAGTGAGAATGCTTGGAAAGTTCTTCTCCTTCAGCTTCTTGTGGGGCTTCTTCCAATGGTTCTTCACTGCGGGAGATGACTGTGGTTTTGTCAATTTCCCAACATTTGGCCTCAAAGCTTACCAATACAAGTAGTACACCGCTTTTATACATACCCCCTCCTATCTATCAATTCATACACCGTTCGACAGCTTTACTTGACATAATACACACATTTCTTGCTGCAGATTTTATTTTGATTTCTCTGCAACATATGTTGGAGTAGGAATGATTTGTCCGTACATCATTAACATATCTGTGTTGCTTGGAGGAATTCTTTCATGGGGATTAATGTGGCCTCTCATCGAGAAAAGAAAAGGAGATTGGTACAGCGCTGAGCTTTCCCCCTCCAGCTTTCATGGCCTTCAAGGCTACAAGGTAAAAAAATGCTTGCAGCTGCCTTAGATTTCTGAAACCTCGTACCATTAATGTTCTTAGTAAGTCTGTTTGTGGCTTTAGGTGTTTGTCTCCATTGCCTTGATTCTGGGTGATGGGTGTTACAACTTTGTAAAGGTGTTGGCAACAACTCTTATAGGTTTGCACCGCCAGTTGAAAAAGAAAGATGTAATCCCAGTCTCGGATGCTTCCGCTCCTTCGACCTCCAATGTTACGTTCGATGACAAACGGAGGACTCAACTCTTCCTCAAAGATCAGATTCCCTCCTGGTTTTCCGTTGGAGGATATGTTGTGATCGCAGCCGTATCCATAGCCACATTGCCACATATCTTTTCTCAGCTGAAATGGTATTACATACTTGTCATCTACGTGATTGCACCAGTGCTAGCTTTCTGCAATGCTTATGGTGCTGGGTTGACGGATTGGTCCCTTGCATCTACCTATGGAAAGCTTGCCATCTTCACGATCGGAGCATGGGCTGGTGCTTCGCATGGTGGAGTTGTTGCAGGCTTAGCAGCTTGCGGAGTAATGATGAACATTGTCTCTACAGCATCAGATCTGATGCAGGATTTCAAGACTGGATACATGACACTATCTTCACCACGGTCTATGTTCGTGAGCCAGGTAATAGGCACTGCCATGGGATGCGTCATATCTCCTTGTGTGTTTTGGCTGTTCTACAAGGCATTTGATAACCTTGGACAACCTGATAGTACTTATCCAGCGCCTTATGCAACAGTCTACCGTAACATGGCTCTTCTTGCAGTCGAGGGCTTCTCTAGCCTCCCAAAGAACTGTCTCACCCTATGCTATGGGTTTTTTGCGGCGGCCGTCGTGATAAATTTGATAAGAGACTTGTCAGGGAAGAAGATCAGACAGTTTATCCCGATACCAATGGCAATGGCGATTCCGTTCTATATAGGCTCATATTTCGCCATTGACATGTGCCTTGGAAGCCTGATATTGTTCGTGTGGGAAAAGATAAACAAGGCCAAGGCCGAGGCTTTCGCACCTGCGGTGGCATCGGGTCTGATATGTGGAGATGGAATATGGACACTGCCCAGCTCCATCCTTGCTCTGGCTGGAGTTAAGCCTCCTATTTGCATGAAGTTTCTTTCAAGGACTACAAATGGTAAGGTTGACGCGTTCTTAGCACGCTGAAGCTTTGTTCACAGCTACAGTAGAAGGTTATTTTCTAAGTGTATTTAGTGTTTGTAGCTTCACGGTAGGGAACAACTCTCACATATGTTGCCAAAATATTTATTTACAGATAGTTCATTACTGGTCTAAAGAGGATCTTTTTGCTTATAAACTAAGAATAAAAGAAAAGTTAAAATCAATAATAAAAGCCTAACTAGAATTGTAATTTAACCAAAATTCAAATAACAAACAATCAGACACTGCACGACTGCAGATGTATCCAGTAATTTAATTTTGAAAAACAATGGAATAAAGAATATGTTACTTGAATTTTGTACATAAAATATGTAAAATTTCAAGGCTGGAAGTCCGCATGGTTAGAACAAATGAGCTGAGGTTTCTCCAAAGGGTGCAAAAGGGAGAAGTTTGAGCAATCTGAAGGGTCCACCAAAAATCAGAACTCAAATTTTGAACCTGAAAATGCAATTGAAGTTTTTAAATTAAAATGGTGAATATTCTTGTTTTAAGTGTATAATATTTTCAGAAGTTTGAACTCTCATCCTATATGTTGAACTAAAAAGAAACATTTCTTAAACGTTTATTATTCTCAAGAGCAAACCTTTGTGATACCATGCCCATTAAATTTTTAACATTGACATTTAATTTAGTTCATAAAATTTGTTGAACTAGGAAAGTGATGTGGATTTTGCAGCCAATTATTGAAACTGCAATATGACAAGTTTATTTTACAAGTACGATCATGAATGTGAATCGAGATATTGAATGTTAAAATCATGATTGAGAGAGTTGAAATCAATAGGCTGAAGACTTTGATGTACCTTAAGATAGGACGACAAGACTGAGATAGATAGATGCACATAGGAAGATAAATGATATCATTCCCCTGCAAAAATGATCATTCAAATCAGGAGATAGATGAGTAGGGAACTATAAGCAATCTCGAGGCATCTTGACATATTAATCTTTCATAATGATATGATCCAAAATAAAAAAATACTATTAAACTCAAAAAATACTTTTTTAGAAAATATCCCATTTCCCATCATTTCTTGTGCATATTTAGGTATCTAGGTCTGTGAATGTTATCCATAAAAGATTGAGATGTTACCAAATGACTCCCCATCCAATTCCATTACAAGGGCATGGACATAGTTCTGCAAACTTCTCAGCATCGCTCGAATTGACTCTTCGTGAAATCAAATCATCATAAATATCTGCATGGTTTACGATAAATCATATGATTTTTAAGCACTGAAATTTTAGCTTTCTAGTAATGTTGTTATATTTATAGAGAGAATTTGATGTACCGTAAACCGAAAACAAACTGTTCATCACACCTACAAAACATCAATGTAAATGTAAGCAGCCCTTCTTTATCCAGTAAGGAAAAGACATGTAACTTGATAAATGATAAATAATATTCATTCACAGAAATAAAACAGTTATCACAGGAAAGATATATACCAATGAAAAGAATGACATAACGAAGTATGCGAACTGTAGTCGTTTCTTGTAGAACCCAAACCACCGCAAGGAAAATAATAAACCCTGAGGTATTTAATTGGTGAATGTCAATATTGAGAGCAACGAAAGTGATCTACTTTAAACTTTAGTTCCTACGTAAAGATCATTGGAACACTAACCAACGCATAGTCCTCTAAGCGTCCACTGTCAAATGTACAGCATGGAAGTTAGAAATTGAAATTCACTAATAGAAATTGATAATGATAAATAATATATGGCAAAATTATTTCTCAATCATGTTTTTTCCTTACATTTTTTGCAATGAAGAGTACAACAAGAAGGGCTAAACCCAAACAACCCGCTGCAATTCTTGCAGTGAGAAGATTGGTTGATGCGAGAATCATAGCCATGCCCCAAAATGATGATCCAAGATCTAGGTTGAAGTGAAAGAATAATAAAAAAAAATAAAAAAAATTAGTGGTTCCACAAAAAATAAATTTTACACTGGAAAAAATAACGCGAACTATGGAAAAGCATATATGATAACACTTCCTAGTTCCCATAGTTACAAATTAAAATTTTGATACGTCGTTACATGCTGAATTAATGGATGAATGCATGCACACTCAATTTTAAAACACGATCCGCTGATAATCTTATTGCTTATCAGGGAATAGAAAAGAAGTAAAATAAGAGAATTACATCCTGCAGGCAAAATCAGCCAATATGCACCACCACGTGTTTGAGTTAACCCTCCCTCATTTGCATGAACCTGGATTCCTTCCACCTGCATATAAACTGGTTATATCAACTTCCTCTGGGTGCATTAATCCCAAGCCATGGATATCTTTAAAGAGATAGCATAATGACTTCAAAAATTGAACTTAACAGCAGCAGATCACTATTTAAGGGTTTCATGAACTACCAAGATATCCACACGAGGGTAATTGATAGAATAGATAACTTTGGCATAGCAATGAACATAGAACACAATTTAGCAGTGAAGAGGTCTCGTATTTAAGGTAAGAAAATGACATCAAAGATCCTCAAACCCAAAAAATTACAGACGCAAGAAAAGACTAAAAAAGCAGATAAAAAAGATTGGAATGCACGGATATCCCAGTGGTCCTGATAACAGACTCATATCGTACATTTAGTGGCATCCGAAGAATCTTCTTATTGATAAAGAACACCAGATACACATCTTTATGAGTCTTACCTTTAGCCTTCCATATAATGAAACTAAACACAATTCATAAAACAAGTTGGGAATAACTAACACACGAAGTACGTATAATGTTACAAAAGAGAGTAATGTCCGTTAATAAACTACTTTTAACAGATTGATTGATAAAGCCAACTCTCATGGATAGCTTATGGATCTTAGATCATTAACATACCCAGTCTTACTATCACAAATATATATATATATATTCTACAAGGAGGGGAGAGGGAAGACTGCAGGCTTGCAGCATAATTTTCACTTGAGATTACAGGGAAGACATCTAACAAATAAATCTAGGACTGGGTTTCGGAATGGTCCAGAAAATGTAGTTTTTACATCAACCCTAATTTCAGCAGCCTTCGTAAGGAAGTTAAAAAATAAACCACATCTGTAAATTCAATAAGAAATATGCAGAGAACATCGTGTTTTTTTCAATATGTCCTACAAGTAATACCGTAAAGGCGTACACAGTTGGAAAAACCTTCAATTGGAGTAGAAATATGATATTGCTTATAATAATATATATATATATATATAATAATGCAAAAGCAAGATGTTCTTTTCAATTACCACAGAAAATAGAAGTGAAGCAAAAACTTATACCTCACCACAGGTAAGCTTGCAAGCTATTGCATGGCTTGCTTCGTGCAGGAAAACAGTAATGAGCTTGAAAGGAGTGATTATAAATGTCCTCCATAGCTGTCACATTCAAAGGGGCAAAATCAATATTCGTTGAGAAAATAATAAAGGCAAAAGTATAGCTTTCTCAGCTGATGCACAATAAGGATTCCACCTCAAGTATATTCAAGAAAACCTCTCTACTTTTTCTTATCAGAATCCAAAAACTACTATTTTTAGACACAGCCTACACTCATAGGAAGCTCGATCAAGTTCCTATGCTCTTCAACTAAGTCAGATATCTAATTTCATTTAAAGAAAAAAAAGTTGAGAGGTTGGAATATGTCAAACAACGACTATAGTAAAACATGAAGGAAATTGAGTTCTTCGAAAATTAAATCTCTGCACTGAGTTCAAGTCTATTGTTCCGATCTGTCCGCAGTTGGCTGGGAAGGCTGAGAATACAGATAGAGATATAATGAGAACCTAAGATCTCTCTCTTTCTCTTTCCATCCCCAATTTTAACTCATCAAATACTTGACTACCTACATAATTGTACCATGCTGTTTGAGAAGAGTAACAAGAAATACCTAAGTTCAAATAGATTTTAGATCAGAGGAAAACGCAATTTCAAGGGCGATTAGATAACAGGGAAGAGGCATCATGAATTTCATAAATTACGAACTTAAAGACCTATCCTAATTCCAAGAATCATAGAAACCTAGAACTGAAAAACAAGCTGAAAAAAAAAAAAAAAAGATAAAACACAACGAAGCTTACCGCGAGGATCACAACGGTGAACACCCCAAGCGTAACTAAGAACACAACCTGCTCATGCTGACAGCAATTCCTCAGCTCCCAATTCGGCGTGCTCATTCTATCGCTCAGCCTTTTGCTCGATCAAGCAGAAACTCTTACACAGGACAAATGCTGGAGCTCCTCAGGCAAAGAAACGATTCAAAACTGTAGGAGGAGGAACGTTGGCGTCCACTTTGTTCAGGAAGATCGTTGAAACGTCAAAGAACCAATGGCGAGAGAGAGAATTGGGAATATATTTGGAAAGGATGAACAAAGTTTTGAAAATTGGAAGTTGCCTGGGCGACGAAGGAGACTCTGGTGATTGGTCAATTGAGGTTTTGGAGAATCCTTGTCCTTTTCTACTCTATAATCCCAAGTGGTTGAACCACCAAGACGCGGCCAATTCAAAAACTGAATTATTGTTTTCTTTTTATTATTTTATTATTTTGTAAGAAAAATAAAAAAAAACCTATTGGGCCTTAAGGCCCATTATATCTGGGCTTTATGTTTTTTAGGCCCACTAAATAAAAAAAATATTTAATTAAAAAGAAAATAGGGAGAGAGAGAGAGAGAGGGGAGAATGGAAGTTGTTTGAAGTTCACGCCTCCTCACCAATTTCTTTTTCCTTTGGTCCATTTATTTGGCTTTAATCAAAAAAGATGTCTTTGGGGCCTTCATATCATTTCAATCTTTGCCTTCAAACCCTCGTGCCTTACTTCTAAACTCCCCAACATATCAATCTTAGGCTTCCTTTTTAATTTGTTTTTCCGCCAAAATTATAACTTAATTAATTATTTATTTTGTAGAAACTTATTTTATAGTAATATCATATAAAAATGAATATTTTTGATAATGTTAAATATAATGTGAATAATTATTTTTAAAAATAAATTGGAGAGTAAATATAATTGTGTTTTTTGTTGCCGACATAGCTGTCGCCATACGCTTTTTCCGACGGAATTACTGGTATTTCGTTTTCAATTTTTTCGTCGTTTTGTTGTTTGGATTAGTAAGTTTATTTATTTTTTATAAAAAAGAGAGAGTATATTTCATTCTTTTATGGCCTACTTTAATTCAATATATTCTACAAATTCTGAAAGTAAAACAATTTTCGTTTTCAAACAAATAATCTTTTTTTTTCTTTTATTATCTTTTAATAATGTATGAAAAGTCACAATTATTTTCAATTACTTTTTATTGTTTTGGTTTGAAAGGAAAATATGGTGTGAAATTAAAGGGGTGGCTTTGGGACAAAAAGTGGTAACATTAAAAAGAAAAAAAAGAAAAAGGCATTTGAGCTGTTGAAGGGTCCATTCTCGAAAGCAATCGCGCTCAATGTTATATAGATATATATCAATTATTATAGATTAGACTAAGAATCGACAAATACTTAAAAAGAAATGAAACTCAGACTTTCAAATTCAATTATATCACATTAATTTCAAACAACTAAGTCGATATCTAATATGATGAAAAATAATTTAAGTCGATTTAAAAAATATATATGGTTGGATACTTTATTTTATATATTAATATTTTAAAACATATGGTTGAGTAGTAAATATAATTGAATAGAGCATAATCCAAGCAACATTATTATTATTCCATGATTTAATTCTATCAAGTGACTTCCGGGAAACCCTTTTATGAAAAAATACATCGCATCATGGACATAGGTCAACTTTAGATCTTATACTTATATTAAATTATTTATTTATTTATTTATTTGAAAATGATATTTTCCATTTAATTTCTTGGTTGGAGAAATTCCTCCATGGCTGGTTCTTATTAAACTCCAATCATCCCTCTGAATCTCTTAATTTGGTCGGTTTTCAATGCTCTTCATCTTCTCTCCTCTTTCTCACAATCCATTTATTCTTCTTCTTCTTCTTCTTCTTCTTCACGCATTCTTCGTTTATGCTCCTTTCCCATTTCCATGGCGATCGAGGCCGTTTCTCCTGACATTCCCGTTGTCGCATTGAGCCCTAGAATTTCATTCTCTCACGATTTCATCCATGCCGAAGCCATTCCCGTTGAACAGCGCCCTAATTCTCGATCCAGTTCCTCTGCTTTCAATTCCAGCTTTGATTTCGATTTCTGCATCCGTGAATGCTCCCATCAGGAATCCTCCTCCGCGGATGAGATTTTCTCTCACGGAAAAATTTTGCCCCTCGAAATCAAGAAGAAGTTGGAAGAGCCACATCTGCGTCTCGATCAGTCTTCTTTCTCTAATCATTCTCCTCCATTGACGCGAGCGAAATCGCTCGATTCTAATGCGGAGAAATGTTTGAAGAAAGATCGCTCGCCCAAGGAAATCAAGGACGCCGTCAGTAGTGATTCTGAAGAGAAGCAAAGCTCGAATTTCAAATCATTTTGGGGTTTCAAGAGAAGCAGTAGCTGTGGCTCTGGTTACACTCGCAGCTTATGTCCATTACCGCTTCTATCACGAAGCAATTCCACCGGCTCTGCGCCAAATATTAAGCGAACGACATTATCAAAGGACGGTGTAACTCAAAAACAGAGCTCTCATAGAAATGCGCCAAAAAATTCACAACACTGTTCGTCTTCAATGGGATATCAGAAACCTCCATTGAAGAAGGTACATGGTTCGTACAGTAATGTAGTCCAAGTAAACCCTATTCTAAATGTTCATTCGGGGAATCTTTTCGGTTTGGGCTCAATATTCTCCTCTGGCAAGGATAGAAGCAAGAAAAAGTGAATGATTCCGTTTCATTTTTCCTTTTTTCTTCTCTGGATAACCATCTGATTGTCTGATTTGCAAAAAGCTTGTGGAATCTGTAATTCTCTGTCTCCTTTTGCCCCCCCTCCCCTTTTCAATTTCGAATATGATTCTTAAAACATAAAATAAAAGTCGGAAGAGATGCTTTTCTGGTGTGATCCACTGATTGATTGACGTTAAACAGAAACTCTGTTGGTAATCGAACGAAGTGAAAGCAAAACCCATGTTGAAACACTATAAAAAATGGGGTGATGGAGTTGAATTATTTAGATAGGAAGAGGGATGAAGAAGATGAAGATGGATAATGTATGGTAGGAGATGAGAGAGAGGCGGCATAATTGAAGGCACATGCAGGCTTCGGAATAAGAAAGGACAGGTTAGGCATTGCTTTTCATTGTTTGTCCATTGCTCTTCACTTTCTGCTTTTGGTATTTTCTAACACTCAGACGCATAAATCTGAATTTGGGTTCTGTCATTTTTTTCTCTCTCTCTCTCTCTCACATAGAAATCAGAAACAGTCTTCTTTTTGTGTCGGAAGTGTTTGTATTTTGGCTTTGAGGGAATATCAATGACTGTAGAGTGGATCCATTATTCCCATCTTTTTCATTTCTAATTTACATTTATATATTACGTAAAAGATGAAAGTACGTTCAAACAATTACTGAAATTTCAACTTTTTTTTTTCTTTTTTGGGTTAAAATCAAATCAATATAAATATAATAAGTGATTAATCAAAATAAAATTTAGGTTAAAATAGTATTTTGGTAGTGGATGAATTCTCAATAAAGATTAAAAATGGTTCCTACAATTGGTTCTAAAGTTTTTTCTTATTTATTTTTTGAAATTAGTTAAAGAATAATAATTTTCAGGTAAGAAAATACATAATGCCAACATATTTAAAAAAAAAATTATAAAATAAATGCTAATAGAATATTTTTTTAAAAGGACTAATTTAAGCGTTATTGGAAGTATATGGATCAAAGTTTAAACTTTTAACAGTCAATAACTAAAATGGATAGAAACCTTATGACAAAAATTTTAAATCATTTGAATTTTTTGCTTATTACAATATTTAGTCGATATATTGAGAAATTACAGTGAGATATGAGACTTTTTTTCAAATTTGTCAATGGGATATCTTTGAGAAACGACTTAAAAAAAGAAAAAGGAAATAAAAAAGACCAATAATATAATTTAAAAGTTATTCATCTGGGGATTTCTTACTAGTTTTTTTTTTATGTTAGATTTTTATATTTATGACTATAAGTTTCAAATCATCCAGAATGAGAAAAGAGTTAACATAAAAGTGGTCATAAGTGACATAAATGGGATGAAAATAGAATCTCCCAACTTACTTTAACAAGAAACATTTAATTGTCTTGTAATTATTTATGCATCATATTAAGGTAACACATAAACCCAATGACGCCGCGTTTTCTGGAAATGGAATATACCTTAATTCTCTTATTCTCTTATTCTCTTTGTTGGGTTTGAGGTATTCAAAGCTTAAGAAAGGGTAAATTTATGAGAAAAGACCAAATCAATATGTTGTCGGTTCCATTTTATTTCATCTTGTTTAGTTCGTCATTTCTTTTTGTCATTCTATCCATTGTGGTATGTCAAATCAAACCAACATTTGTGAATTGAACATGTCAAGCTCATCACCATTTTAACAGAAAAAAGCTACCTAAAATCAGACTTGGATAGTTCAGAAAAGTACCTTTTGAGTTCCCCCTATCATTCAAGTTCCATCGGCACTTCATCTACGGGTATACATTTTGTTTACATGTTTGCCTTCCTTTCCCATGGTTCCTTGGTGTCAAGCCTGGCGATGTATAAACATCAGAGAAATATATAGAAGACATACGAGCCCACAGATAAAAGTCATCTCTATTTTCCATCCCAACTCTCTCCTCTTTGAATAAGAAAAAAATAACAAAAATTTCATTAGCAGCCACTTCACAAATTGCATGGCCAAGTGGTGGGGAGATGGGACATATTTCCTACCGGATAGCTAAAGAAAATTCCCCCCGTAACAGCTCAAGCCCACCGTTAGCAGATATTGTCTTCTTTAGGCTTTCTCTCAAAATTTTTAAAACGCGTCTACTAGGAAGAGGTTTCTACACCCTTATAAACATGTTTCGTTCTCCTCCCCAACCGAGTGTTCAGCTTGGTTCCCATCAGTTTGGATACAACAGACACACTCATATATGGGTACATATATTATATATTTAGATATTCAATAGCAAGCATGTTGATATTTATCATAATATCTCATACCCCCAATGTAACTTGTGTAGCCTTTTGGATGGAAGTGTAGTTGTCGTGTTATCTCGCTGAACATGGGAGCTCTTTTCCCCAAAATCGACATCAGAATTGGAAAGTCTCGAGTGTTCAGCTTCATTAACTTCATCGATAGTATTCAAATCCTTGATTTGAGATTTTCCAGTCAAACCTATTTTTCCAACAAGGACTTCAATATTAAAACATACGCTTACAACAAAAAAACTACACTACAATGCAATAAATTAGAAAAACCTTTTGTATTCTTTCTTATCTTTGACCTTGATTTTATCTGAAGTCGCCTCCTGTGAAGCTCCTGTCGTATTAAATTGATAATATAAGGAGTAATGAATATGAATAGAGAGAGTATATTTAGGGGCAAGAACATATCAATAAAGAAAAACAGTAACCACAAAGAGCAGCCATTAAAACGTCACTGAGAAATTGACATTCATTTTTTTACAGGGCCATACAAAAATTGACAGAGAAAACTTTAACGGAGTTCTGATTCCGGAACTCCAGTCAAGTGAAAACCTACCGTTTCTATTCAACTAATAATCTAGCCTAATAATATTTACCATTGCTATTCCAACTACCATATGTATAGAAGTATCTTTCACAATTCCATTTCCAAGAAGCTTCTCTCCTCTTGGTAACAATTATTTCTTTTTTGTTCAAAATTCTTTGGTGACAAAAGCCACTTAAAACAATGATCTTAACTCCTATCTTATATGCCTGATGGTACAAACCAAATTAAGTTCAGCTCCTCCCATAGAAATGGGGCCGAAAGCTAGCAGACTCAATTGCAAACAGAGATATTCAAAGAGGGTCGGAAGCACTAAGGAAATTGTCCCAAATAATTCAACTGCAAGAATAACGGATTAACAAAATAAGCAATGCCTTCAACCACCCATTTTACATAAACTACATCCTTGAATTAAGATGAAGAGAACACATCAGATCATGGCATTCTATCAACAGTTTGTAGGTTTCTATAGAAGAAAATACCAAATAGAAAATGAATGTTATTTAGGGAGATAATTCCAGAGAAATTACAAGTTTCTATGGGAAGAGCGGTTTTCTAACCCTACAAATGCAACAACAAATTGTTTTAAATCAATGAATTTAAGAGCAAGGCTTTAGATTGAAAAGTAGAATATTCTCGTTAGTTGCACAGAAAATTATCGGAAGCAAAAGAAGCGAAGTGAAGTATTAAAAACCAAAAGGCAGCAGCTGAAGAAGTAAATCCAATAGGAAAAGAACAATGAAGCCATAATCTGTAGGCAATCAAGGGGAAAAAAACCTGAAATTTAGAGAGCTGCTCATGAGTGACTCCTTTAGGTTTAGGTCTGAAATTAGGTTGTAGCGACGGAGTTGACGCAATTTCTGGTGCTCTCCGCTCGCCTTCCTCATCCGCCATTTTCACTCTACCTTCGCTCCTTCGAAATTATAATTTGATCGCAGTTCCGATTTTTGTTCTCTCTTCCGACGAGCGAAAACGGCCTGCGTTCTTTTCTTGTGTCTTTTTCCCTTGTCTCATAAATAATTTTCTTTTATTATTTAGTCCCAAATCATTAGGAATTATTAAAATAACTCAAATTTTATATTTTGTTCTTGAAAAAAATATTTTTTTTAATAATATATTTAAAGTTTCTATGATTTTAGATCGACAAAATGTAACACACGAGTAAATAAAAGGTACATAAATAAACTAGGACGACATTCGTGTTAGTCTATGGAAATAATTTTCACTTTTAAAAGCGATGAGTAAATAACATGACAATGTTGCACCAAATGTGAGAGATGTTCGGGCCATCAGGTGTCCGTGTATTTTATATAAGTTATTTGTTTATTTTATATATAAGTAAATCACACTAAAACTAAGATAATGCATTTATAAAATTCCCAAAACAAACCTTTCCAATTAATTCCATCATTGCTACCTTCATTTAATATTTAACGGTAACGGTTTTCTTTTGATTTAATCGTTAAAATGTTTATCAACGTACTTGACGCAACGGCGCGCGTTATCAAAATACGGCGCTACCGCTAATACTTGATTAATTACTTTCTTAGTCTTAATAATAACTTCTAATTGTAATTTACATCAATCGTATTTTATTTTTTTATTTTTTATTTACATTGCTTCCCTCCCTTCTACTGCTCAACGCCGATTTTGTAGGAAAATTTTGTAATGAAAAATCAAAAAAGAAAAAATAATTGAGGCAAAAATATGGAATTTCTTCGTACAGATTTTACCAGCGAGGAGCATCTTCTACTCCGGAATCGCGACGAGCACAGGCCGCCAAGCTCGCCGGAGGAATCTGTATCGAAATGTAGTCGATATCGGTCTCAGGGACCGGCGAGTGGTGGAGGTCGTACCGATTCCGGCAGCGCTGGCGTTAATCGCCGTTAACAGTCCTTCCTGTTCTTCGATTCGCCTATCAGAAACCTTATCCTCGAGCGGCGGCGACGAGACGAACAAATCCTTGAGTTTCCGCCTGGCTTGTACCTCCTTATCGTTCTTTTCCGGAATCATATTCTCATCGTCGTCATCGTCATCGACATCTTGAGGATCGGCGGAGGTGTCTTGATAAGGAAATCGACGGCGATCGGTACGATTGAGGAGCATTCTTAGGGTTTTGCGGCGGCGGCGGCGTAGATGAATGACGGGGCTAGCGGTGGGACTTCGGGTAGGGCTACCAGTGACGGCACATTGGGAGGCTAAGAGCTTGAATTTATGCAAGGTAGCCATGGGAGAAGGAGATTTAAGAGATTCGTTGCTTAATTTGTGCTCTGTGAAATTGGAAATCGGAAATCGGAATCAAATTCGGCAGAGATCTGAATTGGGGGATGAGAAGTGAGGAGTTAGATGCGAATTGCCGAATGGATCCTTAACTCTTTGGAGTTTCAGAGAATAAAATTATTATTTATTTTTATAAAATATTTATTATCTTATTTGGAGGGTTATGCTCAACACGTGGCGGGTGTTAGGAACTTGCTTACACATCCTTCCAAATTTTCTATTTAATAGATCTATTAAATTTTTATTCAATATGTCAAATGTGTTGAGCATATTTATTAAATATAAAATAAAAAAAAATGTGAGACTTATTATATAGTTTCAGAGTCCAATGGCTAACTGACCACAGTATTGTATTGTAGTCAATTTTAACACATTTGTTTTCTTTTAACTTTCAAAACTATGCATTTAAGTTTGTGTGTGCCCGGAAGCTTTAAATGGGGGCATGAAATCGTCTAGTGTAGTTGCAAACTGAAACTTCAAGAATGAAGTAGACATCCTAGCTCATTTAAAACACAAAAGCCTTCGGCTGTCTATATGGCTACTACACCTCTAATTTCGAGATGGCTAAAGCGGTCGTTCGAGACGATATTGAGCTCATGAAGAGAATGAAAACGTTGAATTATGTTTTCAAATTGTTCAATGTTTTGTTTGGTATTGTGTGGTTGTCTATTGAGTAACGTAATGATCCATTGGTAATGGATTTGAGGAACCATGAGGGTGGTCCATTTCTATTTCAATTACACTATTTACAACTCAAAAGCATAGAAAAGTAAAACATGGGGGTTCCCAAACTTTACAATTGCAATATAATTCACATAATGATTTCCAACCCATTATCAATGGAGAGAGAGGGAGAGAGAGGGAGAGAGAGAGAGAGAGAGAGAAGGTTACAAATTTGGAGGTCCTCAATCCATTACCCACCTTTTGTAGAGAGAGAAAGTATAAATTAGAGAGAGATACATAAATGTGTGGTGGATCCTTAATGAAATCGATGAGACCCCTACAGCAAAAGATACTTTAGAAAATGACAGATCAAAAGACCAAACTGCTGCCCTTTACTTCACAATATCGTTCAACTTTCTCTCCAAAATTTCTGAGCAGATCTGACCCATCATATGGTAGAATGACATGAGATCAGACAATTGCTCTATTGTCATCTTCCCCATCACGTTCTTTGCTGTTCTTTCTCTCTCTTCATTTACCTTCAGCTTCTCTATGTACGACCCTCCATTTCTCACTGTTGCACCCATTTGCTTCAGCCTGTTCTTTTGTTGCACGCTCAGAGCAGTGTTCGACTGCAAAAACAAATCAAAACAAATCAAAACAAAACAAAACAGTTCAAAACAGTTGGCTTTGTGATCTAATAAGGCTTCTGCATTTGAGGTTTGACACTTGATTCTGATTATACCTCTAGGAACTCGGCTCCTACTTCGAGCTCAGCCTCTCGCTCGAGCTGGGCATCGCGGCCGGTCGTGTATAAGTTCTTGGCAAGGGAGAAGCTTCGGACTATGATCTTCCTTTTCTTCTCCATTTCGTTGTCCAGCTTTAAAGCCTTTTTGGGTGCTGATAATGTGCTGCTGTTTAACTTCTTTTGGTATGCAACCACTGCCTTCACAAATTGCTGCACCAAATCCCAAATGAACAACTTCAGCTAACCTCCAGTTACCATTATCAACATTCTCATAATTTAAAATACTTGACATAAGAACTGACTTCATTTCTGTTTCAAAAGCTGTAGAAACATCATAACTTGACACGGTACCAATGCTTTGGTTCCTGTCTAAATCATAAGCGTTTCCTAAAATTAGATGCTAAAATTTGGGTCAATAAAACAGTTCTTACAGAAGGCTTTAGGGGTCGAAGGAAAGAGGGTGGGCCTGGGGTCAGAGTTTTTAAACGGACGTAAGATTCATGTTAATTAAATAGTTCATGTACAGAAGTTAAGAAACCGATCTGAGATTTGGGTCAATAAAACAGTTCTTACAGAAGGCTTTAGAACTAAAAGAAACAACCTCTAATAGAACAACACAACTTGATAGATAAGACACCTGATGAACTTCATAAAGAACAAATATGAATCAAAATAACATTCAAACCTATATAATCAACACTTAAATCTCATCACTTAAAAAAGAATCGAATCTTATTTTAGTGTTTATTTTATTTTGATCCAGATAAAGTTATTCAAATCTTATTACTTAAACAAAAATATTAAGATCTTTTTATTTTGATTCTAAACTCCAAATCCTTATCTTTAGATACAGGACACTTTTAGATAAGCTCTGTTCGGTTGGATGAATATTTGAAACCACAAAAACAGAGTTGTATTTGATTAAAAGGTGAGTGAAAAGGTACCTGATAAGCGGCAGGGCATCCAGGATAATCAAATTCGTCAGAATCAGGGCGTCTCATTCTTTCAGGATGAAATTGAAGTCCCATAATGAACTTTCCCTCTTCAGGATTATAGGCATCTGGATCATAAAACCCTTCAATCAATCCATCAGGAGCAAAAGCCATGGGCACAAATCTCTGAGCCAACACCTTAACTCCTTGATGATGATAACTGTTCACCATAATCTCCATCTTCTTTTCATCCAATGAATCTCTGAACCAATTATGCAATGGCGTATTCTCCACAACATTAACCCTATGCCTATGCCCATCGTAATTATCGTAATCCATATGAACCACTTTTTCCCCTCCCGGACACTTCTTCCGAATCTCACTATCAACGTCCTGATAAAGCGTACCTCCGCATGCGACATTGAGGACCTGCGATCCTCTGCAAATCCCTAGGTACGGAATGTTCCTCTCGAGGCAAAGCTTCGCCAATCGTAACTCGATTGTATCTTTCTCTTTATCAATGGCGGTGTCGCTGGTGTGTAACCGCCTGATTTCATCGAGCTCCTCTTGAGAGAGGCCGGCGGTATCGGTCTCGTAAAGAGACGGATCGATGTCCTCGCCTTCGCAGAGGAGAACTCCATGGATCGGCTCGAAGCTTTCTAAAAGCATGTGAACGCCGGAGACTCTCGGGACTATCACCGGTACTGCGCCATATCCAACGATGAGATCGAGATGGTACTCCCCTGAAATGAAAAAAAAAAAAAAAAAAAAAAAAAAAAAAAAAAAAAAAAAAAAAAAAAA